CTCGTCTTTATGTCCACATGTACTCAATGTTTAGCTCCCACTTCTAAGTAAGAACATGCAGTATTTGGTTTTCTGTCTCTGCATTAGTAATGGCTTAGGATAATGGCCTTCAGTTGCATTTATGCTGCCACTATAGTGCCACTACACTATTCTATGCTATTTTATGGTTGCATAGTATTCCATGGTGTATATGTACTAAATTTTCTTTACCCAAACCACAGTAGTTGACTTAGGTTGACTCCATGTCTTTGTTATTGTCTTCACTTTGTTTCTGTCTCCATGGTATGCATACGCTCCACATGCTTAAGCTGGTTGTGAATGACTATCTCTATGAGGGAAAGTGTAGGCATCAGTGTGTGGGTGATCAACCCTAGATACACACAGGAGTCAGAAGTTGTCATAAGAGTGACAGTATTAAGACTGGCATTGAAAGGTGGTTTTCTGCCAGGGACACCCGGGAGATAAGGGCTTTCGGGAAAGAGAAAAATTTGGGAGCAAAGTCACCAGAGATTTTATCAGCATGCCACAGTCAGAAAACTAGAATAGGAGGGCTGAGAAACTGATATCAACTGAAAAGGATGAAAATATCCTAGAATAAAGGGCAAGGTTATGAAGGGCTTTAAATACTTTGATAAGGATATTGGACTTTATTTCTCAAACAACGAGGAAACCACCAAAGGATATTTTTAGCAGAAGAATAAAATGATCGTACTTGAATTTCAGAAAGATCACTGTGGTCTTGGAGGATTGATTAGAAGAACACAATATGAAAGGCCTATCATCATTTAAATGGCTGCTGCCACCATGGTTGAAGAGAGAAGATGCTGATGGTTTATGCTGGAATATATACAGTGGAGAGGAAAAGAAAAGAGTGTATATGACGTTTATGAGACAGAATCAACTGGACATACCATAGATTACATGTGGATATTAGGAATAAGGAGGTATTTTTGGTTTATTTAATTAGTTGACTAGATGGATGTGGTTGCTTGTTTGTCAAGATCAGGTAAATTCTAAGAGAGGAATATTTAGAGACAGAAAGTAATTTCTATTTTGGAAACATTGAGGAGGTAATTTTGGAAATGTTAGTAAGCTGTGTGATATGTCAGATACCAGTAGTTTTCCCAAAAATTCATTATCTCCTTTTCCTTTTAGTTATGAAACTAACCACACTTGAACTGGGCGCATGGTTCTTTATTAATAATTAATGAGTATGTCTCCCAGCCTCCATTGTAGGTAGGTCTGACAAAGAGATTAAGTTCTGAACAATGGGATTTGGATAGAAGTTATATCTAAAAGTTATAGGTCATAATACCTTAATACAAAGAGCTGGACCCTCCACTTCTTCCTCCCCTCTCATTAACTGAAAAGGGAATGTAGCATTAAGACACATGTTTGCCATGTGAACAATGGGAATACGTCCAAGAATGGCAGGACCACAAGACTTAAGAAACATCTTGTAGAATACAGCTGCCCTATCCCCCTGCATTGGACTGTTTGGGACTGTCACTGAGAAATAAGCACCTTCCTTGTTTAAGCCACTTTCTTTTTTGGTCTGTTAAAACAACTTAAGTTATATCTTAATACATGGAAGCTAGAAATGGAGGCATTGTTCATATTCCACCAACCCAGCGACCAGCTTATAGTTTTAATTCCTCTATCATGGTAATAGATGTTATCTCTCATGCCAGAACATAAGATAAGCAGAGTATCTACAAAAAGATATTTGCTATTCTTAGAGAAGGTTTTGTTGACTAACATGGGGCTTTTTGGCTATCACCATTCTGCCGAGATATGGTATTCCTAGGAACAAAACAGAATGTTTATATGAAAAATTAAGAAATATTGGTTAGGAGCAGGAGACTACAAAACACTTAGTGACTTAAAGAAAAAGATTATTATGTCACTTCCATAAAATCACACCAAGGTAAAGATTAAACATCAATGGGGGGCTGCTCAATACCATTTAGTCACTGAGGGATTTAAATTGCCCCCATTGTCATCTTCTCCATGGCCACAGTGGTTGCCTCAGATTCCAGCCAGTAGGAAGAGAATAGGGGAAAATGTACCCAATGTTTTAGCTTATAACCCCAGAGGTATAACATAGCACTTTTTCTCTGATTTAATTACCAGCAAGTTAATTATATTGCCATATCTTAACTGCAAAGAATACTAAGCCTTGCCTTGTTCCCAGAAAGAATAATAAAGTAGATTTTGGTAGATTTAGCAGCATCTTCTTCTAAATTAAGATAAATGAGAAGTCCAAGAAAGAGGAAAAATGAATGTCAAAAATTAATTTGGGTCAGATTATGAATGACTTTAAAGACTCAGTAGCCATACAAACTGTTTAAGCAGTAAGATTACAAATACTCTAACAAGATAAGTTGTGCACGTCCAAAGGTTGACTAGAGATGAACTAGTGGTAAAGACAGCTTTTAGAAGACTACTCATTTAGATAAAGAAAATACTAATACAGTCTGGAAAAACCAATGACTATTATAAGAAAGATGAGGGGGAGCAAAACTTATGCAATATCTCTAGAGAGAACATGAAAAAGTGTTGGGAGGTAGGTGGGGAGAAGAAAGTAGCACTGGAGCAGGAATCTGGAGAACGGGAGACTTAAGTTTAAGACAGGCATCTTAAAGCTCAATTTGGATTATTTAAGTAGTAGAGTCCAGAAGAAAACTGTAAATGTTTTCCTGGACATCCATCCACAAGACTTGGAGCTGGTGATTCACAGAGTTGTGGTTATAACCATTAGTATACCTGAGAGGAACAGAGCAAAAAGCAGAAAGAAGGAAGGATGATTCAACATTTCTGACCCCCTCCTCCCAAATTCATATGTTGAACTCTAATCTACAATGTGATGATATTAGGATGTGGGCTTTCGAGAGGTGATTACGCCATGAGGTTATAGCCCTCATGAATTGGATTCGTGCTTTTAGACAAGAGACCACAAAGAGCTAGCTAGTCCCTTCCACTATGTGAGGATACAGTGAGAAGGTACCACCTAAGAACCAGAAAATGAGCCCTCAACAGACACTGAATCTGTCAGCACCTTGATCCTGGACTTCCCATCCTCCAGAACTATAATAAATAAATTTATATTGTTTATATAAGCTATCTAGTGTATGGTACTTTGTTATAGCAACCTGAATAAATTTAAGACAAATAAATAATATGTGAAATGCCAGGTCTTGGAAGAGAGTAAAAAGAAGAATCAGTGAAGAAAACTAAGAGATCAGTTGGAGACTCAAAGACAATATAGAAATGTTATGAGCAGAATGAATTTCATCAAAAAAGTCTCCTGCACCCTCAATAATGTAGTCAGAGTAATGATTTCAGAACTATTTCACAAGCAGACGTAACCAAAGCAACACACACTAGTTTGCATTTCATCCTTATGACTGTTTTTTTAAATTACAGAGGACAACTTGTAGTGTAATGTATAACAAAACAAGGAAGTGGTGTGGCTTTTACATGAATGACTCACACAGCTGTGAAACAAAAGCCAAACCCCCTTCACAAATCAGTCAGAGCCTATTCATAAGCAGGTTTGAACAGATACCCAGGAGGCAAGTGCAAATTGAAAACAGTTCTAGTCAAATCCACTTTGTTTTATAGCCCTTGGACATTTCAAAAATATTGCTAGTGTTTCTGGATCCAGTGTCTTTTTATTTGGAGCTTAATCCTGAGGTCCTTTCTTGAATAGAAATTATTTATACACAGTATTCAAACTTATCATTGGGTATAAAAAACATAAGCTAATTTATTTCTCTTCTTTTTACTGCAGGTCAAATTATTCACTCATTTAACAAATATGCATTATACTTATGAAGAAAATTTGTACTTTATATAAGCACATCCACTGTAGCACCTATAATAGAAACTATGGTCACTTGGACAAGTAATTCATGCATCAAAAAAAAATCCATTATGGATAAAATGTAACTGAAATATTGTATTCTAGTACATAAACATGTTTTTAGTTGTAGTTATATTTTTTCAGTTATAAAATACACAAAATAATATTGTAATTATTTTACTCAAACATGTAACCAAACATAAGTATGTGTGTGCATATATTTTATATGTATATATAATATTACAAATACATATAAGGATCTCACACATTATCTCCTAGTTTCATTTTTGACATGTGAAGGGAAAGCAAAACTATTTCCTTCATTTTGTGATTTTACACAGGAACAATTCCTGTAAAATAATAATGGTATGCTGAAATTATATTGCAGTTAAAATTTAGGGCTAGGAAGGATTTTTAGATATCATTGAGTCCAGTCCATTCGTTACAGTGATGAAGAAATGGAGTCACAGAAAGCTGCATTGAATGATCCAGGTCTTTGCAATCCCATCCCTGTTCTCTTTCTACTGTAACTGTAACCCTAAACCTCTATTATAGCAAAAAAATAAGTTAATGGGCCACAAATTCTGCAGAAGAATACACATTCTATAGGATAGCTTATAAACATATAATTCTCTATAGATTATAAAGCTATGATCTCTACTATAAAATTCATGAGGTATAATAATAGATTGTTACAGATGAGGAGACTGATGCTTAGAATAGCTAAATGATTTAAAGTCACACAAATAGTGAATTTCAAATTGTTTCTGACATTCTACACATATGTACATAAGATTTGAAATTTAAAATGGCTGTTAATACCAGCAAACTATGGAAGTGAAATCAGGGTAGAGAACAAAGACTTACTGGCATTACTGCCAGCCAGACGGAATTTTACAAGGTGAGTTTTGCTTACTTTCAGACCATCTTCACAAGTGATATCACCTACCTAATAGACTAAATGATTGCCAATGCATTTCTTCAATTCAATTGAAAAGAATACAAAACCTTTGACAATAAAATTTTAAATTTCTAAAACTATAGTTAATAATGGGCATTTCTATATTTAAACCATTAAAATGTGATTAATATTTTTAAATATTCCTGATATTGAAAGTTGACATGTTACCTGGTTTGCCAAAATTCTTTCAAATTATGGTCAGATTTATATGGATATGTCTTTCCACCATGAATGGACATTACAAATCCCATGCATCTGCTAAATGCAACAAAGGCTTTCTTTGGAAACTGTAATATAATCAATCCCTCAACCCTGAAAAAACAAAAGCTTATAATGAAAAGTTACAGATGTCAACTTTAATACAAACTAAACCATCAAACCATTCAGAGTATTTTTTATTGTCAGAATTATCTACTTTGTTTAATTTACTTCACAACCAAAATGAGTGAGTGAAGTCAATAAGTTGTTTCCGCATAGCAATAAGGTAGCTAACATTACCACGGCTATTTAAATGTTTGGGGTTTTGTTTTGCTCTGTTTTTCAGGTAATCCCTTAAAAATCTCTATGAAGTAGTTACTATTACTGACCCCAAAAACAGAAAAACAAAAAAAAATGATGCAAGGAAGTTAAACTGGCCTGAGCTTACTCCACAAGTAATCTGACTCCAGAGCCCTCATATTTACTCATAAAGCTGTACCTCCTCTCAAGTTATATACTAGCTACAAAAATAATTACATGTATTTCATCTGAAATTCACAGTAACCCGAGTGAGTCCTAACGATAGCACAGTAAATTTCCCCATATCAAAAACTAAAAAGTAAATTATGTTTTATCTTTCAATAAAGTAAGAAGAGGCCAATTCATTAAAATATTAGTTTTCTAATTACCTCCACACTACCTCTTAAATCCAATATATATACAAGGAAACAACTGAGAAATATTACGAACAAACCAATGGAGATGCCAAGACTCCTTTGTAAATACTACAATCCATATACATTGTGAAAATTGAGTCCCATCAACCGCCAGCCAGACACTATATTTTATAACTGTTGCACGTAATTCTAAAATTTGGGTTGCCCTTTCCCCTCCTCAAAACTGATCGAAATCTATATGCAGACAAATGCTAGAACTAGGCAACCAACAAAAAGAAGACTGAAAAAAGTTATAAGAAGCTTACAATATTCATCTAAAAGTTTACTGTCCATGTGATATTCACATCAGGACGGTTATCTATAAAAATAAATAGGCACCAATAAGTTATTAAAACCTAACAGAATTTTCATATGTAAAACAGTTCATTCCCCAATAGTTCACAACACACACAGATGAAACTTAATCCAAGTGAGGATTTATTTTCAAACAAGCTGTCCAATTCTCATTTCCACATATATTTTCTTTTTAGAGGCTACATAGCATTAATCTAAAAATAAAATAATGCTCAATAGCTGAGAAGTTTAGAAACTTGTTTATTTAAGTAAGTTGCCTATCAACTAAAAATATGGATTTTTTGAATAAGGACTCTTTTGAGAAATGGAAGAGAATTTGATTGCTGGACAAGTGTTCTGATTTTTACAAAAGGAAACATTTAGACTGGTGTCTCTCTAACAAAGAATATAGGGTCAGAAATTCTGAGCTAAATTAATGGGCACAGCATCATAGTCATACACCTTGAAGTAAAAGTGCTGAACAATTTATCAACCTCTAAAGTTCATCAACATTAGGCAAATTTTAAAAAACAAAATAATAGAATGGTGGTCACAAAGTGCTAATACCAGATTTTGAGTTTCTCAAATAAGTGATGTACACTATGTGTTCTCCTGAAGCCATATCATAATTAATGAAATAAGAAATGTTTTCCTTTAATTAAATATGTCCAATGGTCATCTTCTTTTCACCTTACAATTGAATGCACGTAGAAGGAAGAGACCAGAACAGTGAAAAACACAGAATTATGCCCTCTGAGTAATGAATGCTAAAATAAATAACTTTGGGACTACAGGGCTTCCAATATATGAAGGACTTTCATATGGAAGAAGAAAGAGTTAGATACATTGAACATCTGGCACAATGCCTAATTCATTTTAGGTACTCATTAAATATTTACTCTATGACTGAGGGGATGAATCAATTAATGCACAAATCATTTGCTGATTATCTCCAGAACAAGAAAATTATATTAGAATCACAAAATTTAGTTTAAGTTATAGGAAGGCAGAATTTTGCTTTAACATATAAAATAGTTTATAAATTGTAATTGTTTGATAATAGAAATAGGCTGTCTCTAAAGGCAGAATGTCCCCTAAAGCTAAGTCTGTTTCACTTGGATGTTTGAGAAGGGACTGCCTTTCAGATGGGCATACAAACTGGCTGCTGACTTTTAAAAGTTCCCATGTTGCTGTGATTTCTTCTTTCAGATTCTCTCATTTCTCCAGTTAGGACAGCAATTTGTGAAATTTCCCTCTGCCTTGAAATTCCACTCTTATTTCCATTGTCCACTGAGAGAAAATACTATTACAACAGAATCATTCATCAAGGGTCATTCATTTAATCTTGCCCCTCCACTACATAGTCATATCCCAACTCCTGACGAACAGGAGTGGAAAAGAACCAAAGTGCTCTTAGATTACAAACAACATCCTTATGTGTGTGCGGGAGTGTGTCTGCATGCATGTATTCTTATCTGATATCTTTTGCAGTGACACTAGCACATTTTTTGACTTATGAAGATGATGGTTTGAGTAATTATCCAGATATGACTCATTTCCTGGTTTTGTTCATTACAATCATCTTGATAGACGCAGGGGGCCAAGAAAGTCACAATTTTGGTCCTATCTGAAGTTGTCACAATTGAACAGATGTGACAAAATGTGAACATGGGTATTATATGGAGACTCAAAGAAGCTAATTTATTCTCTTAATCTTGGTTGAGATATAGTAGCTGGGGGTGAAACTGAGAATAAAGAAACTTTAGTTTCAGACCTGACACTTACCATTCTATGCTAGATTTCTCACATGGAAAATATGGAATGGTGGCAGCTATTTATCCTCTCCTGCATCCTAGGCTTTTGTGCTTCTGAAAATGAAATAGTAATGAAAATATTTTGTTCATATTGCCACATACAAATAGCAAGTATCGCTAAATCTAAGTATGAGTTTAAAGTCCAGGCATAAAGGAGTGTGCACCAACTATCAGTGCAATTGGAAACCTATCAATGCTATAAAGTACCAATTAGAAACCAGAACTCCATTACCAGCATTCTAGAAATACAGTACTTATTTGCCAGCATTGTTACTGCCACAGGTTTCGTGTACTTCTTTTAAAGCCACTTTGCAAGAACAAACTTATACTCCAGAAATGTATAAAACCTGCATCCCATGGCACAGTCCTTATGTAAATTTTATTTCATATTGATTTTGTCTTTCAATCATATTCATTGCAAAGTCAAGTCACGAAAAAAAAATCAATAACTGAACATTAAGGAGGCACTTTTCATACAAAGGGCCTTCTACTATTTTACATCACTTTTCTTTTTACTTTACTTTCTACATTCTGAAATACTGCAAGCTGAAAAATGAATAACTGAATAAATTAAATTAAAGTTAACATTATCCTGCATTTTGAAAGAGCAAAACATCTTAAGTCGATTCAAGAACTTTCTTTTTCTTTTTCCTTATGATAGCCAGGTTCTTTATCAATATCATGGCTTAAGAATATATTATCCCATGGCTGCCATTGAAATGAGTGGTACAGCATCCAGGTATGAAAGGGCATTTGATGATGTGGCAGGTGAGAGCTTATTAAATCTTGAATTTGAAGTACCGGGACATTAACAAACTACACAGTTCAAACAACTATGGAATCCACTGAAGCTATATGTCTCTTAAGAAGATAACACACCATGTAGGTTTCAATGTTCAAGTGTTTTCAGAGGCTTTGAAAACTGAACACCTGCAGTTATTCACATATTAACCTTGCCTTTTCAGTATAAAGATTCCAATGCCATTGTTTGTGAAAATATTACATTTACTAAACCATAGCTAACTGCTTTTAGAATTTTGCATTGAAAGATACATTGTAGTTAATATTAACTGTTCTATATTTAGGAAATAAAAATTTCTTATCCATCTTTCAATTAATGTTAAGAATAACATATACAACTTTCCTTCTCTATATTAAATATACTTAAAAAAACATTTGGGAAAATATGAAAAATAAACATCTCTAAACTTTTATCAAATCTTATATACACAAACAAGAGAATTCATGCACTTGCTTTTCATATCCTGCCCTGTAGAAGAAAAATGTGCATAATGTATACATATATAAGTTTATGATAAATGTTACTGATATAAAGAATGTACAGCACACAATTCACAAATAATTATAAAATATACAATATTATTTATTAAAAATTCCCTAGAGCCAATTCGTTTGCACATAATTTTTTGTTGGTTTTTGCTGAGCTCTTGGATGAGTACTTGTCAGGGTTCTCCAGAGAAACAGAACCAACAGGATACACAAAAATATCTCTGAAAGACAGAGAGAGAGAGAGAGAGAGAGAGAGAAGGAGAGAGTCTATCAGCTGGTAGAATTTCAATTGCTCAATTTTACATTAACTTTTAGATAGAATGCAAATGTATTAATTAGAGTGTTTACCTAAAAGTACACATGGTTTGTTATTTTAAGCTAAACTTCGAGGAAGCATTCTTGATGCACACTTTTATGTCTAATTCTCTCTAATGAGATATATAGTAAACTATACTTAATTCGAAAAACTACATTTGCCTAGTGAGGATGCAGGCATTATAAGGAAGGCCAGTCTTTCTCTAGTAAGGCCTTCAGCTGATTGGATGAGGCCCATTCATATAATGAAGGGTAATCTGATTTATTCAGTCCACTGATTTCAATGCTAATGTCATAAAAACACCTTAACAGAAATATCTAGAATAATATCTGACCAAATACCTGGGTACCATGGACTAGCTTATTTGACACATAAAATTAACCATCACAGTAGCCACCAACCTGGTTGCAATTGATGAAAAGGGCGTTTCTACCATGAACCCTGGTTGATATTTTTTCTTACCTTAAATAACACTAAGAGAGTGAAATGAAGGAAATATGTGTTGGAATGATAACAGTGACTTTTTTTTTCTGAACTGGATAATACTTTTCAAATACTAAGAGAGTAATTCCTCAATTTTTGTGATATTAAACAATGTAAAGCACATAGTTACGTTGTACTTTTAAGTTTAATCTGCATTATTAACAATACTTTCTCCAGTACTATCTCAAGTCTTGCCAATCAGCAAAATAATAAACCATACTCTTGTTTGTAGTATTTGCTAATTTCCATAATGTAAATATATCTACTATGACCAATTTCAAGCTAACAATATGTCACTGGAGTGGAGTTGGGACAAGATATACAATTACATATCCCACAAATACAATAAACAGAAATATACTTAAGAGCATGGATAGCACTAAAATCTAGTTATATAATTAGGACATAATTTTTGAGTATAATCATTTTCAATATGATCTACTTAATTAAAAGTTTATATAATTTAATGTTCAATAATGGTGACCCTGTTTAACACCCAGCTTACAAAAATTCCTAAAATTTTAACAGTTGACTCTTGCAAGCTGGTCCAGCTAGCTCCACAAACCACTGCAGCTTTACTTTTTCCTAAACATTGCTGGTGGATAAAATTTTACAAAGAGAACTTAATTCACTTGGTATTAGGGATTAACATTAATAAAATATAATAAAATCTTCCTGTAATGTGTTCAGCCTTATCAGTTATTAATACTTATTATGAATTCGTCTGCAAGCTCCTTTCCTGCAGGCAGGCTTTGATGAACAGAGTGACAGTATGGGGACATGAGAAGGGATGTGGAAAAGGAGTACAAGTGGAAGAGGAAAGGCCCATAAGCCTTTCCTTTATCACAGAAGTGCAATGTGCCAAACTGAAAATGCAGGTTACACCTGGCCCTTCATATACGGCCATGCATTGCTATGACATAGATGCAAATATTGAGAAATTTCAATTGATCAGTTTTACAACAAACTTTTAGACAGAATGTAAGTTTATTTAATGAGTGTTTTTGCCTAAACGTACACATTCTGTGGATGGCTTATAACTTCAAGCTAAAATTCATGGTAATGTTCTTGATGCATACTTTTATACCTACTTCAAAAAAACTACGTCTTCCTTGAGAAGATGCAAGCATTGCAGTCATGACCTAAGGCACACATGAATTTTGCTAGTATGTTATATTTATGCTAATAGAAAAATAAAAAAAAAACAGATAAAATTCAAGCTCTCTGCTCTTGCTTTCCTTCAATGTATCAAAGTGGTTGTCTCTTTAAAAACATTACAAAAAGTTACAAAGTCTGTCTTCAGAGAAAGGGATTCTAAGAACACTAACAAAAATGATGGACTTGAAAGTCAAAGTAAACATAAAAGCTTCATATGTTCTAATTTATGGTGGTGCTCCTATCTTCACACACAGCAGGATGTTAAGCCTTCCTTGTCCAGGAACATCACAAAAGTTTTGGAGAGCACTGGCTTTTGGCATTGATATCAGGTCTTAACTTTAGAAACCTGAGATAATTAGTTTTAGAAATGTAAAGTTTTCTTGATAGAGAGAGAGGTAGGTAGCTAGATAGATGATAAACAAACAGATACATACATAGAGGTACACACACACACACACACACACACACACACACACACACACATCTACATCTCAATTCTCAAACTTCCTGACAGGTCTGGCATCTAAAAATACTGTGAAGGACATAAAATCTGCCTTCAAATCTCCCACCTTCCCATCTATCTTTTCTTTATCATCATGTTCTTTCTTAAGTATATTGGAGGTAGGGTGCGGTGGCTCACACTTGTAATCACCACTTTAGGAGGCCTAGGTGGACAGACCACTTGAGGTCAAGAGTTCGAGAGCAGCCTGGCCAACATGGTGAAACCTCATCTTTACTAGAAATGCAAAAATATTAGCAGGGTGTGATGGTAGCCATCTGTAAACCTACCTACTTGGGAGTCTGAGGTAGGAGAATCGTTTGAACCAGGGAGGTGTGTAGGTTGCAGTGAGCCAAGATTGTGACACTGCACTCCAGCCTTGATGACAAAGTGAGACTCTGTCTCAATCAATAAAATAAAATAAAAAACAAAAATAAAAAGGTATATTGGAGTTAACTCAGGACATCCCTAACCACCCCAGTTATACCCAAAATTTCCATTCTAATTATTTCATGATACCCTCTTACCTATCTCTCTCTCTCTCTCTTTTTTTTTTTTTTCTTTAGATAGTGTCTCACTTTGTCACCAGGCTGGAGTGCAGTGGCACAATCTTGGCTCACTGCAACTTCCCCCTCCCGGGTTCAAGTGATTCTCCTGCCTCAGCTTCCTGAGTAGCTGGGATTACAGGCATGCACCACCATGCTCAGAGAATTTTTGTATTTTTAGTATAGACGGGGTTTTACTACATTAGCAAGGATGCATGTGCAAAGACCCTATAGAGGAAGAAGCATGGTGTCTACCTTCAAGGGACAGAATGCAGGTCCATGTGGCAAGCAGGCAAAGAGACTCAGCAGATGGTGAGACTCAGAGAGGGTGGCAGGACTGACGACGTACAGCCCTGTAGCTTCTCCCAAGGATATTCATCTTTTCCTGTGCAGTAGTCCCAGAATCATTCCACACACCCAGCAGGTGGGTGCAGCAAGACATGACTTGTATTTTAGAAACATTCCTCTACTTGCAAGGTTGAGAATGAATTAGAGGGGATAAGAGTGTGTGTGGGAGACAGAGGCTTATTATAAGCAAAACACAGATGAGAGACAATGTTAATATATGCAGGCTATTGATGGTAGAGAGAGAGCACAGCTTCAAAACATACAGGTGGTGAATGAAGAAGCCTTAGAGATAGGTTAGAAGTAGAGGAAGGAGAGAGTCAGGATAGTGATATTTTACTTAATTAAAAAAGAAAAAAAAACTGGGGTATATTCATAGGACATCTGTATTCACAAAAGCTAATTGGTGAGTCAGGTT